CCCCAAAACCCCAAAACCCCAAAACCCCAAAACCCCGATCTTTTAAATTCTTATGATAATATATAATATTAAAAATGTCTGAGAGCAGTGAAGAGCTTAGCGGTAGTAGCTCAGAAGAGGAACAGTACGAGTTTCAGATAGACGGAAAGCTCAAATTAAAAGACCTTGATAAGGAAATTATCAGTAACAACCTTCTGATCAAAGAGCTTCTACTTGGTAAGATCTCTTCATTTCGTTACTTAAAATTCAAATTTTACCTGTATCCTTTAGACAATAATGCTAAAAGAGAGCAAAAGAAGAATATGGAGAAATGGTACTTTTTCTATCTCAAATTTAGGGCTCTGGTGGAGAATACAATGGCTCTTGAGCAACAGGAGGATAAGGAAGAGAATTACTTAAAATAACAAAGTAAGCCCCTTCATCTACATTAAATCTTTCCATTAAGAGAGTCTAGCATCTAACTCAAGTGTAGATCAGACATAACAACGAGATTAAAGAAGAAAGGAAGTATAAAAGAGCCAAAGAAAATGAGGAAACTAAGTAAGCTATTTCTCATTTGAGATCGATCATGACTTCTATATGGTCTGGCTACCATTTTATCACCAATATAGATTCGATCGGAACGAAGAAAATGATGAAATGGAAGTCGAAGAATGGCAAGATATAGTCAAAGATCGTTTAATAGAGTTGGAGAGATGCGTCTCGGGTCAGAGAATCGATGAAGTTAAATCAAATTATGATTTAAGAGCTGAAATGGCCAAGAACAGAATGCTTCATCTTAAAGCTGAGTACTGTACAATCATTGATGCAGTCTGTGTCAAACTTATCACCCAAGAAGTTTCATTTGAGCTTTACTGGAAGTATCAAAATGAGTCAAGCCTTGTGACTACCGATTTGAAAGGATGTGTTGTTACTTACAGAGTCAAGAGAAGTACATCCTTTAAAGATATTTATGATGCAGCATGTTCCCATTGGGAGTAATTTTAGATAATCTCAACTTCTATAGCCTCAATAAAAGAAAATACTTGCTGACAGATGAATACTTTAACGATTTATCAATCTACAACGAAAGCGTTTCGAATTTCTTCCGAGGATACCAACCAATGAACTCAAGAAATGAAGCTATAGTTTACATTGTAGAAGATGATAGGAAGACAAAAGAGAGCAAATCAGTCTTGAAAGAATCAGGGATTAATAGAAGAAGAGGTCTAAGTATGAAAGTTAAATTCTATTATCCATAGATAATGACCCAGCTACAATGAAATAAAATCACAAAAACTTTAAAGGGATTAAAAGTTGACAAGATGACTTTAAGAAGTGATCCGAAAAAGTTATCAAATAACTTCTGGATGCTGATATTTTTCATTGTACTTTTCTCGTTGAGTATTGCAAGTTTTACTATCCATTACCCTATAAAATCAGCATATTGGTTTTCAAATATCAATGAACAATTTTTCAATAAGCCATATACTTACCCAGATGTTCATCCAAACGGAACTGCCTATACTGCTGTAAGTTTGTGATTATTATGACAAAGCTAAGCAATAATATAGACAAGCCAATTTATGAAAATAGACACTCTAGAGGCGATTAATATTTACATGAAATATTTCTTCAAACTAAAATTCCTTTCAGCCGATAGTTCAGATAGTCCATCTTTTCTGAACAACAAGAAGATACTCTATGGGCCTTACAGAATTCATACAAGGAATGTGAAGATATCTGAATGTGTTGATGGAGTGGATATTTCCCGCTATAACGGTACAAATATCGGCGTTATCTTTAGGAACTCATAATGGTGTTGACTACAACCTAAACTGTCTCAGGTAAACTAAAAATTTCATCCCGGTTAACTTCACCTGTATTTCTCTCTTAATTTTAAGAAGATAAGCTAAGAGAAATTAATTTTTTGAACATATTTTTGTATTTATCATAAATCTCATAGTTTCATCTTTCTTCTTTAGCGGTTCAATTAACAAAGAAAACCTGACCTCAAGTGAAGCAGGGACTTTTAGAACAGCTGGACAGTCAAAGCTCAACTTCGATATCTCGGGTGAATACAGTTTATTTGATGGTGACGGCTACACTTGGGATATCTATCCCACCAAAATGAATCAAAGCACATTTGATACAGAATATGATACATTAGTTGACGCTGGGTTTATTGGTGAACAGACTGTAGGGCTTATCATCTCCTTCACTATTTATTCCAAGGATTTGAATAAGTGGGCTTATAACTATGCTTTTCTTGAGAAGAACTTGCAAGGAGTGATATACACTCATTTCCCTAACTCAATTGTTTTTGAGCCTCACAGATTTGATACTATTGAAGAAGTAATCTTCTTCTTCATAGACATCATTAAAGTCATTGTTATATTCATAGTTTGTTGCTATGTAATTGGCTGGGAGTTTTATCTCTGGAAATTCAAGAAGAATAGAAGAACTCTTATAGTGTTCATTAGAACCACCATGATGCAACTTTTGGCAATCATATTGACTATTATTTATTGAGTATTCCATTTTGCACCAGGGAAAAATGGAAAGAAATTACTTGATATTGCTGCAGAGGAAGATATGAAGACTTATGAAGACCTTTGGCATGCAGCCCAGTTTTATAAAAATGCACTAAGATTCGAAGCAGTTATCATTATTTTAATTGCTCTAGTCATCATGAGATTTTTTAGAATTGTACCTACTTTTCATTTCTTCTACCAAGTTCTAAAGGATTCTTTAAGAATATATGCTCCAAAGGCTTTGTTGATAACTTTGTTGCTTATCTGTTATGCTATAATTGCCGCTCAGATCTGGCATGTTACCTACTATGGGTTTAAAGACGTATCAAACTCAATCCTGTATATCTTATTAATCTTCGAGCTTTCAACAGGTGATGGGAACTACGATCTTTATGAGCAATTGATATTCCCATATGAAAAGGGATTTGGCCTTCTTTTGATCATAATGACAGTGGTCACTATTCTTTATGTCACAATGACAACTGCTGTTGTTGTAAAATCATTTGACAGACATTTAGAGTTCCTGAAGCAGACGAAAGAAGAAGAAAAGCCTCCTCATTACATGATCAAATGGTTTAAGGCTGCCAAACTTGACAAGATCTTCTTTGTTCACAAGTGTAAAAAGAAAAGACAGAATCAGTATGCTCTGGATTCAAAAGATGAAGCTAATCTTGAAATGATCAGAACTATCAACAATAGAAATTAATAATATATCTTATGATTCCAGTGTAGATAGTACTCTGGGGTTTTGGGGTTTTGGGGTTTTGGGGTTTTGGGG